AAGGGGGGGGGGGGGGGGGGGGGGGGGGGGAGTCGTGCTGAGAGGTCTCTCTAACTCCTGAACCCGAGTACTACTGTGCACAGTTTGCTGCTCTGGTCGCCCGCGTGTATTGATCCTGTGGCGGAGTCCGCCCCTTTACACAATAACCTGCCTGGTTTTGTGATTAATTAATCATACTTTACATAGGCAGCTGCCTTCTGTCGTGAGCTCTCTCTCTCTCTCTCTCTCTCTCTCTCTCTCTCTCTCTCTCTCTCTCTGCCTCTCTCTCTCTCTCTCTGCCCCCCCTCTCTCTCTCTCTCTCTCTCTCTCTCTCTCTCTCTCTCTCTCTCTCTCTCTCTCTCTCTCTCTCTCTCTCTCTCTCTTATCTCTGTCACATACACATCACACTTCCACCCTGCTAACTATAAAAATGTCCAACGCCTACTTCGTTAACGATGGAAATGTTTCTTAGAGCACGATGTGAGATCATCAGGAAAGTAAAGTAGTACTGTAACATGCCAAATGTATTTTTAGAGGCGGCTTCGGGGATAATCATAACTTGGAGGACCACTCAACCAAATTTCCACAGGGGCCAAAACGTTGGGAAATGTGGGTCATCACCGGCCAGAGACCCGAGCTCCAACATATAAATATAATTAATTCAGTACAAGCAGGTGATCAGCGGGCCACTTGCTAGGCTTCTGCGGGCCAGATTTTGGTCCGCCAGCTGCCAGTTGAATAGCCCTGATCGTAGTTATTGCTTTGCAGCGTTATCCCGTTAACAGTAAATCTTTGCTTCAGAGTATGCTAGTCATCGTATCGATAAAAGAAGTACATTCAGCCAATCGTTTGATGAATGGGGTCTTTGAACGATAAGAAATGGACATATTTCAGCCTGCAAAGTCGCACAGAACCAATTCTAAATTACATTCAAAGACAGCAAGTGAAATGGTTTGCCCACTTAGAGAGAATGCCTTGTGACACCATACCATACAAAGCATTCATGGAAAGAGAAGAAGGACGTAGAGCACGAGGTAGACCAAGAACAAGATGGAAGGATAACATCAGAGAAACTCTACAACAGCACGATGTGCCTGTGGTCGAGGCGGCCAGAAGAGCTAGAAACAGAACCATATATCTCCCTCGACACCCACATCCGTAAAAGAGGAAGTGAAGAAGAAGAAGAAGAAGAAGAGAGACGTTAGCTAAGGATCTACGATGGATAAAAAAATATAGGGTGGGGGGGGGGTAAAGGGGGGTATGACTCCAAACAGTTTAAGACGCCCTGAAACACATAAACCACGGGGACATTAGTTTAAAGCCTTAGTGATTGGGGAGTGGCGTTCTCAGGCTGCGAGACTAACGGTGACGTCTGCTAATGGAACTTCCTGTCTCCGACCGGAGTCGACACTTGGAAAAACTCAGAGCGGAAATCGTGCCGGAAAGTATATCTCCTCGTAGCTCGGAGATTCTATCTTTACCGTGAGACCTGAAAGATGTAGTCAGTGATGTGATCCTATTGCCGGGTTTCGTAATGATCGTCGTAAAGACCTGGTTTTGTTTGTGGGAGTCAGGTGATTCAGGGGTCACATGTGGTAGAGAGGAAAGGCGGAGAAGAAAGAATAGAAGACGTGAGATGTTTCGGCAGTTAGGAATCTTGTAATACAATACATGCCTGGGAGCTGCCATGGCACAGTAGTTTGCACGCTTGTCTTCTGGCTTGATGGTCATAGTCTGATTTCAGTCGAGGCTGGCCATAAGTGAGTACCAGGAAATTTGCAGTTTAAAAGTCTATACAAATATGGAGCTTTCGCTGTGTCATCATCATCATGTAGCAGGTCCTTTGCAAAACGTCGCTCTCCTCACAGTCTGCCTGAAAGAAGCTCGGTCTCTCACCAGTTTTCCTGCCTCATGCACTTTCATACTAAAGGAGTCACTTATATCCTGTGCCCATCTTCGTGTTAGTCGACCCCTGTCCCTCCTTCCTGGCACTATGCCTTCTGCTGATATTTTATCCAATCCGTCGTGGCGCGTGTTATGACCAACATATTTCAGCTTCCGAGACAGGATGCTGTTTATTAGCCATCGTTCTTGATGTTCAGATCTTTCAAGATGTCGGCATTTCTCCTCTTCTTTGTCCAAGATATTCTTAGAATCTATTTATAACATTTCGGCTCAAAAGCCCCTATTCTCTTTATCAAGCACTGGGAGATAGTCCACGACTCACATCCGTATGTTGCTACAGGGAAGATGCATGCTCTCAAAATTCTAATGTTAATCTTGCTGGTACTTAACCATAGACTTTTTAGGCTGTTCAATCTTTGCTTTGCTTTGGCCATCCTCCTTTTGATTTCTGTCAGACAGTCTCCATTGCTATTTATTATAGTGCCTAAATATTCAAAGCTTGTGACATTGTCTTTTCTTCATCATTTATTGTTATTTTTGGGTGAAAGCCAGTTTTATCTTTGGATTTTCGTTTTCTTTAAACTCAAGAACAGATTACGCAGTGTACATATAAAATATAAAAGGCGGGTCATTTTTAATCTGTATATGTACCCCCCCCCCTCCCCGCCCCTTCCCAACACGATTGCAGCCCATAGAATTGATATCTTAAGGTTGAGAATCAAACAGGTTCAAATGTCAGAAACCCCGTGCAACCGTATGACCATATAGCACAGTTACATTTATTGGGAGCATCACAGTACGATTACAAAATAACATATAGACCGGTGGAGGTGGTCACTGCAGCTTTCCGCTGGCTAGAGAACACGACAAATCCACAGATCGTGATTGTAACTGACTCAGAAAGCATGCTGAGGAAGATCAGGACGGGCATGCTTCGCTGCGGAGGACACGGATTAGGAGTATTGTCTGGATTTTTTTTTAACCGGGGTCCGCCGGTGTGTTGAGAAATGAACGCGCGGACAGACTGGCTGGCTGTGCACAACTTGGTGGAATACTGATACATGATAAGGCAGACGTGGTTAAGGCCTTGTGGAAGAGTGTGTACAGTTCGGAGGAGCAGATGGATCACCACAGTCTGGTGAGACTGATGCAGGAAGAGATTCCGGCAGATGCTCGAGGCTCAAAGGAAAGGCAAGACGGTCTCGTTTCATTAGAATGCTATTGGCACCATTAGTATCGGAAATCTTCGCTGGCTGCTGAAGATGGGGACAGAGCGCTTATGGCAATGCCCCGAGTGCTGTGATGTCGGTTCTTGAATCAAATTAATGTAGACCACAGTGTCTGTGGGTCGTTTTTTTTTTTTAATATGATAAAGATATACGTCTCTGCATAGTTCGTTGCTGCAGCTCTAGTGCGGCCTTAAATCCTAAGTCTCACGCTCCCCCCCCCCCCCCCCCCCCCCCCCCCCCCCGCTTTTCCCCAGTTTCCCACCGCCCTATAAAAGTGGTAAGTGCAAGGCAAACTGACAGCCATTTGCATTTCCTAAATATAGACTTTTCTTTTCCTACTTTGTTTCTTGCCTTTAGCATTCAGCACTAAAATATCATTTTGATTGGATTATGACTACCACGTTGAGAGGTGTGTGTGTTCTTTCCGCCTGCCGTTGTTTCGTTGAGAAACATCGTTTTATCCTCAGGAGAAAATGATGGAAGAGGTTGTGATCAGAGGCAACAGGGAGTCACCGGCTGACGGACAGCATTAATCAAAGATTCTTTAATGAGTGACCCTGTGGACGGTACTTGACTGACCAGTCACTCTCGAGTTCTGTCCGTGGTTGCTGAATGGACGTAATTAGTGGTGGGTTGATGGTATTGATTTGCTCAGATCTTGAGGATGTGCTGGGATTTTAGCCAGGGATATCTAATGTGGGTCAACGGTGCAGATAGTAATAGTGTGTGTGTGTGTGTGCGCGCGCGCGTGCTTGTATGAGAGAGAGAGAGAGAGAGAGAGAGAGAGAGAGAGAGAGAGAGAGAGAGAGAGACTAACATAAAGAAAGGTTGCGTGGAAGTAGAGCGAGCAACAATTGACGCCAATAAGTTCCGTTACACGAAGTACCAGACCGCAGTAAACATGCAAGCGTTCTGTGCGGCGCATTGTGAGTATCCCACGTCCTTGCACACAGACCCACCCAGGAAAGCATTGCAATGAGGAACGCCCATTTGTTCTGCCACAAAACTAGTCCATGATTCTTTAATGGCATTTTCTGACCACGCAAGCACACACACTCTCTCTCTCTCTCTCTCTCTCTCTCTCTCTCTCTCTCTCTCTCTCTCTCTCTCTCTCTCTCTCTCTTTCTCTCTCACATCCCTCCCCATCCCCTGAACAATTCATTTTGGCAATTTAAATATAGGATTGGTTTGTCTATTCATGCTTACTTTTTCCCCCCTATATTTTGTTTTTTAGAAAATCATTTTAGTGGTTAATACTGCGTATGTCCACAGTTTAATGGTTAATACTGCGTTAAATCCACCATTTAGTGGGTAATACTGCGTATGTCCACAGTTTAGTGGCTAATAGTGCGTTTATGCCCTGTTTATTGGTTAAGACTGCGTTTATTTCCTCAGTTTAGTGGTTAATACTGCGCTTATGTCCTCAGTTTAGTGGTTCATACTGCGTCTGTGTCCTCAGTTTAGTGGTTAGTACTGCGTTTATGTCTTTAGTTTAATGGTTAGTACTGCGTTTATGTCTTCAGTTTAATGGTTAGTACTGCGTTTGTGTCTTCAGTTTAATGGTTAGTACTGCGTTTATGTCTTCAGTTTAGTGGTTAGTACTGCGTTTATGTCTTTAGTTTAGTGGTTAGTACTGCGTTTATGTCTTCAGTTTAGTGGTTAGTACTGCGTTTATGTCTTCCGCTTAGTGGTTAGTACTGCGTTTATGTCTTCAGTTTAGTGGTTAGTACTGCGTTTATGTCTTCAGTTTAGTGGCTAGTAGTACTGCGTTTATGTCCTCAGTTTAGTTTCATGCAACACTATCCGTGGCAATTCTGTTTTCATGAATCCAGCATATCACACAATATGGAATAAAACTGTGGCTTTAATTTCTCATTTAATTTTCAGAACAAGTCTGAATCAGCAGTAGAAGGGGACAGGGGCAGAGACAGGAGAGCTCCAGACAAAGATATTTCCAAGTTTTCAAAACCACCCCTAATCCACCATGTACATCGAACTTCCTCAAACACCTCTAATTCATCAGCTCCAGGAGCACTTGGTGAGTACATGTTGTTGTTGGCTTGTCTGGTCTTGCATCTTTTTCCTCTTTTTCTCCTCCTCCTCCTCCTCCTCCTCCTTCTTCCTCTTCTTTCTCCTCCTCCTTCCTCCTCCGCCGCCGCCTTAGTCTTCACGATTATTCTTCTTCTTTTTCTTTTTCTTCTTTTTTCCTTTCTCCTCTTCTCCGCCGCCACCGATTATTCTTCTTCTTTTGAAAATAGAGTTTGTTTGTTTCTTCTTTTCTTCTTCTTCTTCTTCCTCCTCCTCCTCATCCTCTTCCTCTTTCATTGTTGATGGTGTTTATTATTACCTGTTAAAAGATGTAGAAAGGAAATGATGTATGAAAGTAGTGAGACTAGAAGGGCAGAATGTAAGACAGGCCTGAATGTCACATTCTCAACCCTTTGAGCATTTAGTTTGTCCATTAGCTCATCTCATCTTCTTGTCCTCCTTCACCAATGAAAGAGTGGTTGACACTTTGTGGATCTACAGTAGGTCCTTGGGAAATAGCTGCCTCTTACAGAATACTTCTTAGGCAGCAGTGGATTTATTCTTTCTTCTCCCACAATGGTGGTCTTGAAACCAACACAGGATATAGGATGATATGTTTGTGCTGAACGACAGGCTTCTTCTATATGTTGAGTCATCATCCACGCTGGCTAGCAGACTTGCGTGCCAGTCTGGGCCACGTGTTCAAATCCCATTATTGCTGGCATTTTTTTTTTTTTTTAAAAAAAAAAAAAAATAACCTGTGCCTCGAAGGATGCCCAGCTTAAACAGGGTACCAGGGAATTGTCTGGGGAAGTAATTGGGATTTTGATCAACCATCAACATCACCAATCATCACTATCAACTCCATAGTCATCATCATCATCATCATCATTACAACCACCGCAATCATGATTCCAGCCATTATTATGTTGTTATTTTTATAATAACACTGTTACTTAACGTTATTTAAATAACATATCTTTTGATATATTTTTTGACAGCCAGTGGTCAGTCACCGCGACACAGTGGAGTCATGCCTGACCTTCTCCCACCCCACACCCCTCCCCAGTCACGGTCACCTCCCATGCCACAGAGACCCCAGGACAAGACCACATCTGAAGAGGTTAGACACTACTTCCCATCTGCTTAGTGTTTCTGGTATCTAAGTAAAGACCCTTTTACACGCCTTTGGGCATATGGAGCTGTGTTATATAAAACAGTGGTCTCCAACATGGAAGGGGGGGGGGGGCACAAAAAGGTTTTAACAGGGACGTGAAGCAATTTTGAAACTGAGTGCATTTGTTCTTGTAATAATCTGTTATACTGACATTTTGTTTTAATTTAATTCTAAATAAAACATTGTTTAAACTATTTTTTAAACAGAACTGCTTGGACATTTTTGTTTTCATAAGCCAAGCAGTTTGCACATCTACCGTTAAAAATATAGTTAGGATGATAACATTCGCAATTAATAATAGATTAAAAATATAGGCATTTTAGAACAACAGCAGACAGAAGGCAAATTGAATTAGATATACCACATATTAGTTTTCACACACAGTATTTAGTATTTTAACTTCATTTACAGTCTTTGTTGGGAGGGACAACAAATAATCATATAAGCGGCAGAACTTCATCAAAATATCAGGTGGCACAATGAATTGACGAGCAATGATCACTGTTATCTGCCCTGGACTAGGCAGATGAAGACTGTTAGAAGAATGTGGAAGAATTTTTCAAAGTTTTCTTCTTCTCTATTCATGCTCTTGATTCATTGTGGGCCATAAACTGGGGTTTCAGCTGAAGAAGGTCTTTTAGGTTTCCCCAGATCTTTATTGTCAAGTCCGCTTGGTTTGGTCACAGAAGAGGACCATTTTACAGGTTATTTTTCTGGAGTGTGTTTCAGCATAAAGATGCTGGCAAATTTGTTTGGCCAAACCTAATTTATATGAGTATTTATTGTGTCTGCAGTGTCCTGTGCCTAAGTAAAACATGATGATTTTGTCTGTTCTGTTGTTTTACAGTACAGGAAAGCTATACTGCAACCGGCAATGAAGCATCAGAGATCTTTCTCGGCTTTTGGTTTCGGTGCCGAGGGTTCCACCATTGCTTCGGTCGCCTCCATGTCCAAGCAGTCGCGGCGAGGCTCACAGATCAATGTTAATGTGACACCATCACAGACTACCGAGGGTATGGGTGACACTCCAGAAATCCGCAAGTACAAGAAGCGCTTCGGTTCTGACATTTTATGTGCCGCACTGTGGGGTGAGCATCCTTTTTTTTTCTCTTTGTCCTTTTTTTTTTTTTTTTTGGAAATCTTTTTTCCCCTGTCACTTACTTTCTTAGTTGGCATGTGTGGCCTAGGTGTTTGGAAACACACTTTGTAGTGCCGGAGTGCCAGGTTCGATCCAAGTTGCACATAATTTACTGGACGTAAATTTGCCTAGAAAAACCACAACAGCCCAAAAATGCTGGTGTTGGTTCTGCAGTGTCCTTTTAAAGGATGAGCAACTAACTTTTTTTTACTTGCTAATCCCCCTTCTCTCTCTCTCTCCTCCCCCCCTCCCTCTCTCTCTCTGTCTCTCTATCCTCTCTCTCTCTCTCTCTCTCTCTCCCCCCCCTATCTCTCTCTCTCTGTCTCTTTCATCTCTTTCCTCTCTCTCTCTCTCCCTCTCCCCCCCTCTCTCTCTGTCTGTCTCTTTCTCTCTCTCTCTCCCCCTCCCTCTCTCTTTCTCTCTCACTCTCTCTCTCCCCCTCTCACCTCTCTCTCTGTCTCTTTCTCTGTCTCTCTCTCCTCTCTCTCTCTCTCTCTCTCTCTCTTCTCTCTCTGATCTCTCTCTCTCCTCTCTCTCTCTCCCTCTCCCTCTCTCTCTATCTTCCCTTCCCTCCTTTCTCTCTCTACTCTGTCTTCTCTCTCTACTCTGTCTTTCTCTGTGCACTGTCACTGTACCATATTCTGTCTTCCTATGCCCTCTGTCAGAGTTCTTTCTCTCTCACCTTCTCCCATCTGTCTTCTTCTTTATCTTTCTGTGTTTCACTTCCTCCTTGCTTATTTACTGCCCTCTCTCCATTCCTCTTCTTCTCTCATTCCCTGTTTTCTTCCCCATCTAATTATCTCTATGTAAATCTTTCCCTTTCTTACAGTTTGTCACCCTTTGAAAATAAAGTTTGCTTATTCTATTCTGTTCTCTTCATTAGATTTCATTAAATAATTTGCTTTCCAAACAAATAGTTTATATCTTTATGTGTTGATGTTATAAGTTATATGAAATTGCCTAGGACATCACAGATTAGCCAATCTTTATTTGTTGGAAATACTAAATCTATATCCCTGTCTTTTGTTACTCCTCCGCTTACTCTTCCCCAAATTGTGGTGTTTACCCTTCCTCCCCTGACAGATCATGTTACCTGTTTCTAAAAAAAAGTACACTTCTAGGACCCTTTCTGCAGCTTGAGACTTTATTATGTGTGCCTGGCTTGCCCCAGATTTTTACAGACCAGTCGGTGCTCACTGCTTGATGTGGTTACGCTGGCTACCTTTATTTCTCACAACATTTCTTTGTATCATTTTTTTAAGTCAGGGTCAGTCTGAGAAGCCAGGTCATATGTTTTCATTCAAAATCTTGAAAAGAATTGTGGTCTGTCCTTTTGGAGGGAGCCTCTCTCACCATACTCAGATTATAAAGACTCTCTTAACTAAAGGTTTTTTTAAGCAGACTCCCAACTTTATGTTTGCCCCACTTTAAGACATGTTAGTAATAAGTATGTGACTATGAAAATAACTTGTACTGATAACTTTCATTCACTAATCCCTGGAATGTTTTTATTTGCAGGTGTGAATTTGTTAATAGGAACAGAGTCGGGGCTAATGCTGCTAGACAGAAGTGGGCAGGGGAAGGGTGAGTAGCTGTTTGGTGTGATGATGATGTTTTCTTCGGTGTTCAGATCTTGCAGAATATCAGGATTTTTCATTTCCTTGATTTTCAGTTTTCTACAATTTTCTGTGGTTATTATTTCCCCTTTGTATGGTTCACATGTTTCTCTAATGGTCTCCTCCAGGTTTTGTTTTTCGTTCCTGGGACTCCAAAGGACTGTAAAGTAAAGGGCCCTTCTCCTCACCATTAGGCATATTGAGCATAAATTTGCTAGACCTCTAATTGCCTAGAACAATCGGCACTCATGGGGTGATGTGGTCAGCATCACCCCAGCCACCTATACGTACGTTCAAGGACTTGCATTAAAAGTCTGTGGTTAAGCATGTCATTAATTAATTGGTTTCCATATTTGTTGATATTAAACAGCATTAAAAGTATATAGTTAAACCCCAGCAAGGAAATGCAATCAAAATTTTGAGAGCATGCATCTTTCTTGTAGCTGGATATGGATGTAAGTTGTGCACTATCTTGCAGTACTTAAGGAGGAACATAGGAGCTTTGAGATTAAATGCTATAAAATTGATTCTAAAACTACCATGGACAAAGAATACAAATAAAAATAAAAATACAGACATCCTAGAAGATCAATGAAGATTGGCTAGTAAAAAGCATTTTGTTTCAGAAACTAAAATATTATGGCCATATCAAGCGCCATGTGGATTGGGGAAAAACAAAATAATCTAAGAAGTTGTGGTAGCAGGATGGACCAACACGAAGATAGGCACAGAATTTAAGTGACACCTTGGGGTAGGAAAGTGAAGGAGGCAGGAAGCCTGGCAAGAGATTGAGTTTCTGTGGGAGAGACCATGATGAAAGCAAATGTCTGCAAAGGACCTGCTACAGGATAATGTTTGTCGATGTTTTTGTTGTGTCTGTAAACTGTTTGATCTCCATCCATGTATGTACTTCACATGTAAACTGTTCTGTTCTGAGGAGAAGGCCAAAAGACATGACTCTGTATCCCTGTCTAGACTGATGGACATGGGGGTGCAGCCTGGAGCTGGAGCAAGAAATGAACATTTCACAAAGAGGATAAGACGTTTCATTAGCCAACACAGAACAGGCGTCATCAGTCGTTTTGCACTTGTAGAGCTTTTGAGGAGGAGATCGGAGCATCTGTCCAGAGTGCTGTGATGATAATCCTGTCTAATCACTAATCACTGTTCTGTTGACATCCTCACAGTATACACTTTGATATCTCGGCGGCGCTTCCAGCAGATGGAGGTGCTAGAGGGACAGAACATCCTGGTGACAATCTCGGGCAAGAAGAGCAAGATCAGAGTCTACTACTTGTCCTGGCTCAAGTCCAAAATTCTCAAAAATGACACGGTATGTCCTTTCTCCTTATCACTGTCACATATATCTTTACTTTGTCCTTTTCTTCTATTCTTAGTCCATCATCTTCTGCCCTGGGGTATAGTGGTTTGCCAGAGAGATTGTCAAACTTCTCTATCAGCAGTTTGTGTGTGTGTGGTGTGCTTTATTCTATTTCAGTTCTCAGTCAGGGACTATCAAATGGTGTCTTCCCAGTGAACCCTAGGGTGCCCTGGTGGTCTGGTTCCCTGGTTCTTGGCCTTCCATGCCTGCTGTGGTGCCCGGTTCTCTCGCCTTCTGAATTTATGTCCAGACCATCATAACTGTGTCTGGTCCATTCGAGTTTGCAGGGCCTGGATTTGAAGATCATGACATATTGTCTGATTGTAAACTTTGTCTCTTGTTGTCACTTGTTCTGTTTGTTTTTTTGTGTGTTATCTGTTTGCTTTACTTCTCCAGTTGTTTACGTCTTCTGTACTTTGTATTTAGTTTTATTTACAGTGTATTTATGTTGACCAAATTGTCCACTGAGTGCCAATGGGTCTATAAAAATATCATGTACGTAATGCTTCACTAGCCATCCCAAGGGTATGTCCATGAGTCTTTGTGAGTTGCTTCTTAATTTACGTATTGCTTGTGTCATCATCATTATCATCCCATAACACTGCATGTTGTTAGGTCACCAGTTGCTGTCGACTGTCTGACCAGCTCCTTCCACCTTTGACAGTCAGATGCGATGGACTTCATGGTTGCATGCCTAAGGTGTGTCGAGTCAAATCAAGTTCTGTATCCAGATCATTCTTGGTCTACCTCTTCCCCTCTGCTGAGCCTTACAGTATTGTTTTTGAGAGGCCATTAGATCTTATTACATGTCCATGCCACTGCATTTTTCACCTTTTCACCGTAATGAAGAAATTACATGTGTACTTTCTTCTGTTTGTTCTCTCTCTTTTTCTCTCGATGTATAAACAGTTTGTTTATCTGAGTGTCTGTATTGATGAATGCTTTTTGTGTCAGAAATTGACTGCTTCACTGTATTTCATGTCGAGCAAATGGAGGACAATAAAACAATTCAGTGACTACGTGTGTCCATGCTTGCTCATTACCCTGTAGTATTACATTTATTTTGTTGCTTGCAGAGTGACAAGAAGAATGGATGGGTCAACGTCGGTGAACTGGAGGGATGTGTACATTTTAAAATTGGTAAGTTTATGGATTTAGCATGTGTATTTGGTTAGTTTATAGGGGTTACAGTAGTGCTGTCACTGGCATTCTTGCCTGTTGAACTAAGTACTGCTCCGTTTTTCTGTCAGTGAAAAACACACAAAATATCCTTCCTTGTGCAATTTGAAAACTAGTGGTAAACTTGTAAAAATGCATAAATCTGCTGTCAGATGTGCCAACACTAACTGTTCTACACTAGAATTGCAGCTCACTATTGGTGCAGACAGTGATTTTATGAAAATCGGCATTGTACAAAAGTCCTCACCATTCTGAACTTAATCATTCAATCTACTTAATAGTCTAGAGACTATATTATGTTGTGGTAGCTATCCAGACTTTAAGATTAAAGGGATTTAAGAGCGAAATACAGTTTTTTCAAGCTAGTTCTTCAAGGGGACAATTTTAAAAAAAAAAATAACACCAGTGAATGTTAATGGTTAGTGGTTATGGTTTTAGTTGCAGTAGTTTGTAGAATTCGAACTATGCTGGCTACTGAAGATGGGGACAGGGTACTTATGGGAACTATGTGGACCTGTTCATGATTTTTTTGGGGTTAGTAAGCAAGTTCTCTACAAGAGAAAATAGCCAGCTTCTTGTTAACTTCTTGTATGTATGTGTGTGTGTCTGCATGTGTATCTGTGTGAGTGTCCGTGTGTGCATGTGTGTGTCTCCATGCATACCTGTATGTATGTATGTATGCATGGATGTATGTGTGTGTAAGTGAATGGGTGAGCGTGTGTATGTGGGTGTATCTATGTGGATTTGTGTATGCACTTTACAACTCATGCTTTTGTGTTCTTTTATAATATTCATAATATGCATATCATCATATGATTATAACATTCTTTAATAGTAAATTACAACTGCTGTGCGAAAGATGGTTGACTGGAAAGGCTGAATGTAAGACAGGCCTTCGTGCCCAGTTTGTGACCCTTTTAAAATAAATTTTGTTCATTCGCAACTCTGGTCATCTTTTCAACATGCATGATAGATTACAGTATTTTCATTCTTTGCTTCCCTTTGGATCTGCAATAACCATGAACAAATCATGGTTTTGCTGTAATATTTTGAATGTGTTTGAAATCATATCACCACATTACTTTGCAAAGGGCCTTGGTTTGTGTCTGCATCAGTATTTTTCGCCCCACAATTGGCTTAGACTGTTAGGTAGACCCAGCATAAAGCGAGTTCAAGGTAATGTCCTGGAAAGTCAAAGCAGCCGCCTTGGTGTTGACCATCATGCACCCAGTCTCAGATTGTCTAAAGAAAATATGAGCCTAGCATCAGAAGCCTCATGTGGTCCTGACCTGACAGTGGTCCTGGCCTGACAGTGGTCCTGGCCTGACAGTGATCCTGGCCTGACAGTGATCCTGGCCTGACAGTGGTCCTGGCCTGACAGTCGTCCTGACCTGACAGTGGTCCTGGCCTGACAGTGATCCTGACCTGACAGTGATCCTGGCCTGACAGTGATCCTGACCTGACAGTGGTCCTGACCTGACAGTGATCTTGACCTGACAGTGATCCTGACCTGACAGTGATCCTGGTCTGACAGTGATCCTGGCCTGACAGTGATTCTGGCCTAACAGTGGTCCTGGCCTGACGGTGATCCTGACCTGTGATCCTGACAGTGCCTGACAGTGATCCTGGCCTGACAGTGATCCTGGCCTGACAGTGACAGTGGTCCTGGCCTGATGGTGATCCCTTGTTTTTACTTTGCACAGACTTTTTTTTTTTTAGATAGAATTCTTTTTTTTCTGCCTGAACTTTTATTATCTCAAACTTTTCCACTGTTTCAGTCAAATATGAGAGGATCAAGTTCCTGGTGATAGCTCTCCATGACAGCATCGAGATTTACGCCTGGGCTCCAAAACCGTACCACAAGTTTATGGCTTTTAAGGTAAAATAATGGAGAACATTGACCAGGCTTTTGTTGTCTTTGCTGCAGGAAATAGGGAGAAGAGAGGATGACCTCATACACATGTTCTCATGCACAGACGGAGGGAGTTTCATAATAAAATCTGTTGACTTTTGAACGTATCAGAAAATCTAGGTTCAGAAATGTGTCTTTTTCCTGACACTGAAAAGACATTTTGATACCCTCCTGTAAACTTTGTGTAAGTTAGTGACACCACTTGGCTCAGAATTAAATACTAGGGTTGGTTTTTTAGAGCATCCAACTAAAAACAATCGTTTAAAAATCTGAACAAGATGTGTAACTCTTAAAAAATCTCGGTTTTACATCCAAGTTATGTTTTTCAATTCTATTGTTATTTCAGTTTTAACGTATGCTCGTGAAAGTTGCAACACCACTCAGGACATCTAACAAAAGTTGGATGCATTAAAAAAATTTTTAAGAAATTTATGAACATCAAATTGGATAAATTCAAGAAAAGAGAAGAAATATGTCTAGGCAATGGCTTGTCTCAGCACTTATAGGAGAAAAAAAAAATAGCAATTTGTCGAGTAGATCCTGAGAGGAAGTGGTCAGAGAATCATTAGACAGGTACTAAAATAGAAAGCAAAAAGATTGACATCTAAAAGAAACCCTAAGAGGAACATTAAAATGAGAAGTCAAGCTGCTGGACTGAATTCCATTCATCATATTGAAACAGTCACACAGGATAGGACGGAATGGAAAAATTAGACTGCAAGTCTACGTGATGTAGTAGATGACATGCAGGATAGGACAGAATGGAAGAATTAGACTGCAAGTCTATGTGATGTAGTAGATGACACACAGGATAAGACAGAATAGAAGAATTAGACTGCAAGTCTGCTTGATGTAGTAGATGACACACAGGATAAGACAGAATAGAAGAATTAGACTGCACGTCTGCTTGATGTAGTAGATGACACACAGGATAAGACAGAATAGAAGAATTAGACTACACGTCTGCTTGATGTAGTAGATGACACACAGGATAGGACAGAATGGAAGAATTAGACTGCAAGTCTGCTTGATGTAGTAGATGACACACAGGATAAGACAATGGAAGAATTAGACTGCAAGTCTGCTTGATGTAGTAGATGACACACAGGATAAGACAGAATGGAAGAATTAGACTGCAAGTCTATGTGATGTCCTAGATGACATAATAAAAGCTGAGAAATATGATATTTCCATCTGATATCTTAAACTTGTACCCTGCGGATGTTTTCAGCAGAATGTGTACATCCTGGATTGTTGTGTAGTTCATGCCATAAAAGGTGCCGGCCAAAACGTTGATTTGTGTGTTTTATGCTTATTGTTCTGCTTCCCCTATTAAGCTTTTTAGTCACAGTTCACTGGATTAATGTCTTGGTATTAGCTTGACTGCAGTCACCCCTATCTATGTTCACCACTTTTTGTAATCTTAAGTTTTCTTGTTGTTTTTGAATTAATATCTATCAAGGAATTTCTTCTTTCTGGTAAAATCCAAATTCTGCGCGAGACAGACACTAAGACGTATACATTTTTAGTAATGCCTCATCTACCAAATGGCTTGGCACTGGTCAGACCTCGGACATCCTTCAGTAATGCCTCATCTACCAAATGGCTTGGCACTGGTCAGACCTCGGACATCCTTCAGTAATGCCTCATCTACCAAATGGCTTGGCACTGGTCAGACCTCGGACATCCTTCAGTAATGCCTCATCTACCACATGGCTTGGCACTGGTTTCCTCGGACATCCTTCAGTAATGCCTCATCTACCACATGGCTTGGCACTGGTCAGACCTCGGGCATCCTTCAGTAATGCCTCATCTACCACATGGCTTGGCACTGGTCAGACCTCGGACATCCTTTAGTAATGCCTCATCTACCAAATGGCTTGGCACTGGTCAGACCTCGGGCATCCTTCAGTAATGCCTCATCTACCACATGGCTTGGCACTGGTCAGACCTCGGACATCCTTCAGTAATGCCTCATCTACCAAATGGCTTGGCACTGGTCAGACCTCGGACATCCTTCAGTAATGCCTCATCTACCACATGGCTTGGCACTGGTCAGACCTCGGGCATCCTTCAGTAATGCCTCATCTATCACATGGCTTGGCACTGGTCAGACCTCGGACATCCTTCAGTAATGCCTCATCTACCAAATGGCTTGGCACTGGTCAGACCTCGGGCATCCTTCAGTAATGCCTCATCTACCAAATGGCTTGGCACTGGTCAGACCTCGGGCATCCTTCAGTAATGCCTCATCTTCCACATGGCTTGGCACTGGTCAGACCTCGGACATCCTTTAGTAATGTTTCATCTACCAAATGGCTTGGCACTGGTCAGACCTCGGACATCCTTCAGTAATGCCTCATCTACCACATGGCTTGGCGCCGGTCAGATCTCAAACATCTTTCAGTAATGCTCCATCCACCAGATGGCTTGGCACCAGTCAGACCTCAAACATCTTTCAGTAATGCTCTATCCACCAAATAGCTTAGCATTGGTGCAGGCCTAAAACATTCTTCAATAATACCTCATCTGTTAAATGGCTTGGCACCGCTTCACACTAAAATAACATCCTTCAGTAAAGCGTCACTTACTAAATAATGGCTTGGTACCAGTTCAGACTTCAAGGCAAGAAGCTACAATGTAAAGTTCAAAACGTGGTCTGAAACAGTTGGTAGATTGTACCCAGAAAATAAATGTAGGTGTCTGAGACTAGAAGAATTAGACAGAACATAAAGTTACTTAAGTCAGGAAGTTTGATTTGTTGATTACTTTCTTTCTGCAGTCTTTCTCTGACCTGAAACACAAGCCACAGCTTGTTGATCTTACAGTGGAAGAGGGTCAGAGGTTGAAAGTCATCTACGGCTCAAATGTTGGTTTTCATGCCATTGACCTCGACACGTCTTCTGTGTTTGACCTGTACATTCCTTCACATGTAAGTAGCCAGGTTGGCTGATCACCGCTGGTGCTGTTTGATGCCAGGTTGGCTGATCACCGCTGTTGCTGTTTGGTGTCATGTTGTTATGTCATGTTTGTTTGTACTCCGAGGGAAAGAGGGGAGGGAGACTTGCTCTAATATGGTGCCCAGAAAAGGTATCATCAGTCTGGATTCCAACTTCATTGCAAATGGGTCACCCATAATTTCTCTGTTCCTGTGCCAGTAAAAACCACACAAACTGCCCATTGCTGTCCTATGTGAAAAGTCAAACAGAGAGCAGTCCAGGCAAAGTCTAACAGCCCACACTTGCATTGAATACATAAGGCAGCCAGCACCTAGTCTGTGACTAGAATAGATAGTTGATGGAAGCAGAGGTCGATAAACCAGCAGGTGTACAGCATTAGTGGATAAGGCACACAACCATTTTCTAATATGCAGTTTACAACACCCATCTACAAGAGCACAGACAATAAACATTCTTCATGAAATTCACAGCACACAGTGTCGCACCATTAGCCTGTAACAGATTTGTTGTTGTTTTAGAATCCTCGTTAAGTTGATGGAAACAAAATACAAATCTTAATTACTTATTTTATATAATATGGTTAGAACCACATACCTAACACAATTTCATATCCTGGAAAGTAGGTCGTTACTGTCCTTTTAGAATTCCTTCATGTTTTGTCAGTGGATTTGTTTTGTGTTTATTGTATGTACATTCTGAATTAATGAGATTTTTTTTTTAATTATGTGTAATGTTTAATTAGTGTTAACAAAAAACAAAAACAAAACTATTTTCAACTTAAAAAAAAAATTGTTTCACAATTTCTTTCTACTGTCTCCATCATTAACCTCTGATCGACTGCTGCTTTCCTAAACTACAAACCATGCCAATCTGCCTACAAACTCATAGTACCGGGGTCAAGGTAATTCAGTGGCTAATAACCAATCAGGTTGCATCACATTTTATGTCAACCAGGTAAGGCCTAAAATTTTTTTGTTTTACTGGAATCTGTTGAGCATACACAAAGTTGTTGTAACCTTCTTTGCTAGTTCCTGCTGTGAGTGCTGCAGTAGAGCAAGATTGTGTCCACGCTGGCCAATTTTTTTAAAATTATTTATTTATTTTTATTTCACGCTTGCTTGTTTCTGACATTTTATTATGACTTTTTTCTTCTATCAGTAGTGTAAGTGATTTGGGGGGGGGGGGGGGGGGGGGGGGGGGGGGGTCACTTATGACAAAACACAAGGAAAGGTACACAAAGTCTGTTAGTAGTTTTTCTACAAAAGGTTTGCTAATGTATTTTTAGTTAAGGTTGATAATTGAATTTAAAAAATATAAGACCCACCAGATCTGTTAGTAGTTTTTCTACAAAAAGTTGGGAAATGTATTCCTAGGTAAGGTTAAAAACTGAGTCAAAATATAAGACCCACTAGATGACTAGATTTAAATAAGCTGGCTCAGTCACAACCATAAGATGGGAATAATGTGTTTGTAGTGAAGGAACATTTGAAACCTCTCTCCCCAAGAAAGCTGCTTTTCTGTCTTCTACAGACTTTGGTTGACATTCTGTCTTTTGACAGTGCCTAGTACACTTGTGTGACAGCTTTGGTACTGGCTACAATTGCATAATGTGCAACCACTATTATCAAGTTATTTTTTAAAAAAGGAAACAAAATTCTTTTTAAATCTAGAAACCATGAGTTGTAAATGTAAACCCTTTGGCTTGGTACTATGGATTTTGCAATCCTTCGGCCTTGATTCCATGATAGATACCGTAAATCTGGGAAACATGAGGCTTTTCTGCCTACCCCCGAGCGCTAACTTGGACCACAAGGATTTTGTCACCCGGTTGCTGTGCAAGCTGGTTTAACCAACTTAGCTAGCGCGCCAGGCTTCAACAGTGATAAGATAGAACTGATAAGACAGAGAAGATGGGTGATGTACTGGACACGTTCTGAGAAGCGATAAACTGAGTATCACCAAACAAGCACCAAAATGGGTCATCAAGGGATCAAGGAAGCGAGGACTTTAGAGAGAAACCCTTGAGGTGAACATTGATGAGAGAGGCCAAAGGTGCTGGACTGGAATCTGTCCATGATATCCAAGTGATTGCACCGGATAGAACAGAATGTAGAGATATAAAGAGAGCCCTATGTGACATCAAAAAGGCACAACAGGACAATGAATATGAATGAATGAATGAATGAATGATGCATAGAGTTCTGAGATTGAATATTCAAGTCTTCAACATTACAGTAGCTAGATGTTGTAACAGGTGCTTGATACTGTTTGTGCATTGGCAGCATATTCAGAATACTTCATGTTATGCTGTAACTGGTATTACATGAAGAATGCTTAGTTATATTTGTGTGACACATCCTTATCACAGTGACTAGATTCAAGCCAGTATTTCTGTTTTGCTTGCTCAGCCGTGTTTCCTATGAAAAAAAAGAATAATTTATAAATTATCTCACATCTATGCTTGCTTCACTCTCTTTTTTTTTTCACCCCCATTGCTAATGTTGCTTCTGTAGTGTCTGTCTGTGTAAGATATTAAGATTGGTCATCTGCCTACTTCTGTTTGACTAATGTAATGTAATCCCCCCCCCCTTCCCATCCTTTCCACCCCATTCAACTAGTTATCTGAAATGTGGGTTTCCCTATGTTTAATTCAGCTTCCCCTTTGTGGGGCTTGAGCCTCATATTTATAGTACAAGAATAGACAGGCTGCCCCTCAACAAACATCCCGTAAGAGGCTACTAAGTAAGAGTGTGCTGAAATCAGATGTGTTCGGCCGAAAGGCTCAGATGTTGCAGCCTAGCTGTAAACCACAACACAGCAACCGTATTAAGGGCGCACACAGAAGATGATTTCAGCTTATTTGCCCTTTTTAAACTAAAATAAATTATAAATTGTTTAATTTTCTGCCAGTTTAAGATGATGTGTTTTCGCAATTTTATCTTTTTGTAGTTTTCATTTTAATTGGTATTCTTAAGCAAAGTGTCATTGTATTTTCTTGCCCATATACTGGTTGTAGGTTTCTTGTTGTTTGTCTCTGATTAAGGATGTTCAAGGTGTGTGAATATTTTACCTTGAAATAATTATTGTTGGAGGCAAATGAGATAGTGTCAGCTTGTTGTTGTTTTTTTTAAACCCAGATAGAAGTAACATTAAAATTAAATATATGTAATTTGAAGGCAAAACTACATAATTTAAAGCTCAGTGTTTTGTTCAGGCTTTCAAAAGCTGCTGTCATCTTGTTGCATGCGTCATCATGTTTCTCCCCGGCAGTCAAAGTTGCTGCTTAAATTGGTAAACTGATCTATTACTTTAATTCTTTGTTGACACCGGTGTGACATCTGCTTGATCTGCCATTGATGTCTATAATATATATATATATCTGTGTTTTTTTCATAACTGATTTGTAGACCAACTGTTGATGCTGTATGTGCTATATTATCTGCTTTTGTTTGCATGTCATTTCTGTATCATTACTTGAACAGGTATCTAAGTTTAAATATCTGACAACAACATTAAATTAGACCCCAAAAAAAACAATCATTAGCATCTGATGCAGTAAAGCAGACTAATTATTGGGACAGCTATTCTGTGTGAGGCTGAAACACACAAAACAGCTAAAACAATTACTAATTAACTACAAACATTGATTTTAGCTGTGCAGGTTGGAAGGTAGTGCATGGTACGATGTTATCACTAACGTGGAGCCTTGGCAGTGAACTGAACAAATACCAGTGAATCAAGAGGTGAAGAAATGACACTGGCATTGGATGGGACCCTGTTGAAAAACTGGAGAAAGAATGTCTTTGAAGAACAGACATGGTCATGCAATGACATCAGGGCAAACCAAAAACACAAAGGGAAAATAGAGCTTGAAAGTCATTACGAAAAATATGACAGGAGCTGAGATGCATTCTGTTACAAAAGATAGGAGGAGTGTGTGTTAGTAGAGGGCCCATGCTCCATGGGGGATAAAGAACAGGGGAAGAAACATGTTCCTGATGTGTCCTTGATTTGATTTGGTGGCAGTCAGAGTCTGTGACTTGAGGGTTGTGAAAGCAGTTTCACAAACCTGACATACTGGGGGTTCAGATTAGCTAAAGACTTTGCACTGAATTTGACCAAACGATATGGGCATCTTATCAGTCAGAAAGCAGTGACAAACTATTAAACGTAACATTACCTTGTAAAACCACAAAATAGTTCATAAATGTTTGAATTGTTTTGTAATGTCTTGTTAAATTAAAAGGATATGATAACTCTGAAAGGGTTCATGTCATAACGCTATAGAACAAAATAAATTACGAGAAATGCTGATAGAATGGATAAAAGTTCTTGCTGGATAGAGAATAATGAATGAAGAAAAGCATATAATGTGTAGAATAACTAGTATATGCACTGTCAACTTAGTACTGAAAGAGTTAAGAAAAATATTTCCCTATCTGAATTAATACTTTACTCTTTAGCTGTGTAGAACTAAATCAAGTGCAGTGACAACTGGCATGAGAGATGGGTCCACTGAATCAGTACTTAATTCTTTAGCTGTGTGGAACTAATCATCATCCAGTGCAGTGACAACTGGCATGGGAGATCCTGCTTCTACAAATGTTGCAATCTCCAGCAACAAATAATTAAATGAAAGTGGATGAACAGCCGGAACTTTGTACCAGAGTTTTCAGCCGGTGAATGCAGAGAGAAAGAAGAAGAAACTATAAAACCAACATAATAGCAAACCCAAGTTTATGATTATGATGTTTTATGTAAACTTGGGGTGTTTGTGATTTATACCATTTATGTAATCTGTTATTTTCTGCTCCACAGACACACGGCCCCATCTCACCCCATACAATAGTCATTCTGCCCAACACCAACGGCTTGCAGTTGTTACTCTGCTATGACAGTAAGTAACAGATGTGACAGTTTTTGCTATGACATCTTCCAGGACAGTGAGATTTTACTGTGACAGTCTGCTAAAACAGTTCTTGTTATAACAATGTCTTCCAAGAAAGTAAATGATTGAACAGACAGCTTTTGCTATGACATTCATTTCCAAGAAAGTAAATGACTGAACATACAGCTTTTGCTATGACATAGTCTTCCGAGAAAGTAAATGATTGAACAGACAGCTTTTGTTATGACATTGTCTTCCAAGACGGTAAATGATTGAACAGACAGCTTTTGCTATGACATTGTCTTCCAAGATAGTAAATGATTGAACAGACAGCTTTTGTTATGACATTCATTTTCAAGAAAGTAAATGATTGAACAGACAGCTTTTGCTATGACATTGTCTTCCAAGATAGTAAATGATTGAACAGGCAGCTTTTGCTATGACATAGTCTTCCGAGAAAGTAAATGATTGATAAGACAGCTTTTGCTGTGACATTTTCTTCAGAGAAAGTAAATGATTGAATAGACAGCTTTCACTGTGACATTGTCTTCCGAGAAAGTAAATGATTGATAAGACAGCTTTTTCTATGACATTCATTTCTGAGAAAGTAAATGTTTGAACAGACAGTTTTTGCTGTGACATTGTCTTGCAAGAAAGTAAATAATTGATAAGACAGCTTTTGCTATGACATTGACTTCCAAGAAAGTAAATGATTGAACAGACAGTTTTTGCTATGACAATGTCTTAAGAGAAAGTAAATGACTGAACAGACAGCTTTTGCTATGACACTGTTTCCAAGCCAGTAAATGATTGAACAGGCAGCTTGTGCTATGACATTGACTTCCAAGCCAGTAAATGATTGAACAGGCAGCTTTTGCTATGACATTGTCTTCCAAGCCAGTAAATAATTGAACAGACAGTTTTTGCTATGACATTGACTTCCAAGCCAGTAAATGATTGAACAGACAGTTTTTGCTATGACATTGACTTCCAAGCCAGTAAATGATTGAACAGACAGTTTTTGCTATAACAATGTCTTAAGAGAAAGTAAATGACTGAACAGACAGCTTTTGCTATGACATTGACTTCCAAGAAAGTAAATGATTGATAAGACAGTTTTTGCTGTTATGTTGTCTACCAAGATGGTAAGAAGACATATTTCAGTGTGCCAAGAACGTTTTTGCTATGACATTGTCTGCCAAGACAGTAAGATTGTACCATGACAGTTTGCTCAGACAGTTTTTAACTAAGTCAGTCTGCATACACCATGTAAAGGAAATGCAGCTAACTGTTACTGTTGTTTTTGTGTGACTATCTGTGTGTGTTAGAGAAAACTATAAATAAATGTGACAGTGTCTCATTAACAAAACAATGCCATTTTTGGAGCATTTGTAATGATCGCTTTAAGCCTGAAGCAAGAGATCCTCACAAATCAGATGATGTCAGTTTTCGCAGTGAGGAAAATATAAAAAGATATAAAACTGAACAAAAAGTAGATCAGCGAGCTTCACAACATAACAAGCACAAATGAAAAATGAATATGGCTGCTACGGAGCCTTCATAGGCACATACATAAATCAAACAAAACTACACAAAAATCAACTTAAATTATCCCAAAGAAGCAGCTACATTGATGTCTAGCCAGCGAAATGAAGAGACACGTGAGGTCCAACAATATATAGACGGGGGATGCCAAGGGGTGTGAGTGGAGAATTGTAAGAACAGTGAAAAAAAGAGTGGTAAAATACTGTAGAGACCCTGTTTTCTTTGCAAGAAGTGCCAAGCTGAAAAATATTTACTGGTAGCGGAGATGTGGTTTATTTTAGAAGACTGCAAAAGAATGTTATGGAATAATAGAAAAACTAATGAGACTGGTGGAGACTTTAAACTGATTAGGCAAAATTAGACTGTAGAAATAAATCTGTTTTTCTGACATTTTATGAGAAGGAATGGACTCAAGAACTTGGTAGTGACTCAAAAAATTGGGTCAGGGGAAGGGAAAGCTGGATGCCTGGTCCATATGAATGTTTTCAGACAAGAACACTGACATGATCTGCGATTCTGGTGATCATATCAGGTGGTAAAAGGTAACAGTGCCTAATGGCAGGGCAAATGATGATGATGATGACATAAAAGGTGTCTGCAGAGTGTCCTGACATTGGTGTTCTCCCTCCACAGATGAAGGTGTTTATGTGGACACCATGGGGAAGATCACCAAAAATGTGGTTTTACAATGGGGAGAGCTGCCAACCTCTGTAGGTAAGTCCACATGAAGAAGTCAGCTAGAAGTTTCATATTTAAATTGATGGTATGTGGTACGTCCCTGCTCTTCTGGGAGTTTAGGCTTTGAATAACATCACTTGCATCACAGTCTGCCCGACAGACATCACTCCCATTATATTTTGTCATATAGACATCACTCCCATTGCAGTCTGTCATATAGACATCACTCCCGTTGCAGTCTGTCATATAGACATCACTCCCATTGCAGTATGACTACGGAAAAGATTTTCACTCCCTTTGAACAGACCAAGTCACAGTTTTTAGCTTACGCACTCCCATTGCAGTCAATAAACATATATACATTAGGTATCCCAGCTCTTGACAGTCTGCTGAACAGACTCCAGAACATGTCCTGCAAGACTGTCCTCCATGGCAGTGCGGAGCGACATATGGACATCACCCAGTTGCAGTCTAAGCCATATAGGAATCACTCCCTAAGAGACCTTGAAAAGACATCACTCCCATTGCAGTCTGCCATATAGACATCACTCCCATTGCAGTCTGCCATATAGACATCACTCCCATTGCAGTCTGTCATATAGACATCACTCCCATTGCAGTCTGCCATATAGACATCACTCCCATTGCAGTCTGCTATATAGACATCACTCCCATTGCAGTCTGCCATATAGACATCACTCCAGTTAAATTCTGCAAGACAGACAACTCTCCCATCACATTCTACCAGACAGACATCATTCCCATCATAGTCTGCCAGGCAGACATCACTTCCCATTGACAGTCGTTCTCATATAGAATATCACTGGTGGTCGTAGTTTGCAAGTCTGTAAAATAATAAGAGGGATCACTCCCATTTAGAGTCTGCTTTTTATAGACTCACAGCCATTGCAGGGGGCCATATAGGGCTCTACTCCACTTCTTCTCCCCACCCCCAGTATATTTTCAGTGTGTAGCATATGAGACATCAGTTCCCATTGCAGTCTTCTCATATTCATCACTCCCATTATAATGTCTTGCTGACCTAATAGACATTTAAAACACTCCCATTGCTGTCTGCTCATTTATAGACATCTTCCTCCCATTGAAAACTGCCATAAAGACATCTCATTTAACCGCAAACTCTTTCATTTCATGATTATCAGTGATTACATGCCACCTTAAATGTAGTTAATAATCCACAATGCATTACTAGTTATAATTAATTGCAGTACGTATCCCATTGTATGCGTATGTGTGACATATGGCGACATAGGCACTCCCATGCATGATTCTGTGTATGCATACTGTATACGTTTGTGTGTATCCCATTGCAGTCTGCGTGAGACATCACTCCCATTGCAGTCTGCCATATAGACATCACTCCCATTGTCTATCAGTCTGCGTGTATATGTGGATGTGCAGGTGTGGCTTGGCTCATGTTTGTCTGTGTTGCAGTCTGCTATATGCTGTGTCTGTAGGTGTTTCTCGTGTGTCTGTGTGTGTATGCTTGCCCTGTTGCAGTATGTTCAAATTTTGATATAGCGACTTCACTCCATTTGTGTCTGTCTCTGTGTGTATAGTGTCACTGTGTGTGCCATTTGTGTCTGTATAGATGTGTCTGTCTGTCGTGGGCTTTGTGTGTATCTGTGTGTCTCTAGTCTGCCATATGTCTGCGTGTCTCTGCTTGTGTCACTGTGTCCCATTGCATATCTGTGTATGCTATATAATGTGTGTCACTGCCCAGTGTGTTGTGCAGCATCTGTGTGTGTCTGTATGTGTCTATTGTATGTGTTAAGTGAGTCATTTAGCTGTGTGTGTGTGTGTGGTGGGTGTGTATGTTCGCGCGTGAGCGTGAGTACATATTTTACCAGCCATGCTTTTGTTTTTGACTTCATATATATAATATTCATATTATTACATCCCCCGTGTGGGTTCCGGGGCCCCATTGTGGGGAAAACAAGAATAGACCCACTGCCTCCCCAAAAGCATGTCGTAAGAGTCGACTAATTGGGGAGCTTCCTTCGAAGTCGGAGTGCATCTGCCGGAGAGGCAAGGAACCAACAGTCTGTATTCAAGAGAATAGATCTGTAAAACTGATGCACACGCAACACTCAGGTTCTGGAGCAGGACTGCAGTTCAGTAGTGGACGAGCAACCAGAACTTTCCGCCAGAGTGTACAGCTGGTGAACGCGAAGAAGAAGAAGAAGAAGATATTATTACATGAATATAACATGCTTCATGAATATAACTGCTGTGTGAAAGATGGAAGTTTGGAAGGGCCGAATGTAAGACAGGCCTGCGTGCCTAATTTGTAACCCTTTGAAAATAAAGTTCGTTCGTTCGTTCGTTCACCCCTTTCCACTGGCTGTTCTTGCAGACTGGTCATGGTTGCACATTCACAGTTATTGTTATTTCTGTTACATGCACACACTGAAGGACAAAAGCACTCCTGTGTCTACACATTTAGTCATTGTTTTCATTGGTGTCTTATTCCCAGCTTACATCAGCACAGGCCAGATCATGGGCTGGGGAAACAAGGCAATAGAGATCAGATCTGCAGAGACTGGTCACCTGGACGGTGTCTTCATGCACAAGAAGGCACAGAAGCTCAAGTTTCTCTGTGAAAGGAATGATAAGGTCAGAACTAGTCTAGTAACAATGTAGTGCTCTATAAAGTAACTTTGTTGCATAGCCTTAGCAGTTTTTGGCTGCTACGTTTTATTAGGCATTTTTATGTTCAGTAGTTTGCCATTGCTTTCTGAATGGGTGGCCCTTTATAGCATTGTTGAAATCAAAGCAAAGTGAGTGAAATCAAAATTTGTCTAAATGATGTACCATATTACCCCAAAAATAGGATAGTTTTGCTTCCAATATACAAGTGGATTTGTTTTGGGGGTATGTTTTTTTTCTTCAGAAGCAGAAATCTGTTTTATTCATTACAAAATTCTACATTTATTCAGTTAGTCATATCATCTTCTGGCCAAAGTGCTGCGTCTTTATTTGACAGGAGTAATGTACCTTGAATTGTGATCCACATCTGTTTATTATCAAGTGACGCAACAGTGGCATCTGTACTCCAGCTGGCCATTCGGCAGAGAGTCTCTCATTATGGGGATACACTTCCCTCAAAATGGAGACAGAAAAAAAGAGGATACACAAATTTTCAACTAGGGAGAACAACTAAATTGATATATCCATTTTCTCTTGTGGATTCTGGGAACCCATTTTGTGGAAAGAAAAAGAATAGGACTTTCAAGTCACAGTGCATCTGTCTGAGAGCAAGGAACCAACAGTCTGCTTACAAAATAAGCCAGTCTGTAAAACAGCTGTGCACACAATACTCAAGTTCTAGAACAAGATTATAAAGTCGAGAAGTGGATGAAGAATTTTCTGCCGGACTTTGCAGACGATGAATGTGAGAGGAAGAAGATGTCCATGCAGTGTTTGAATATTAAGGAAGTGGTTTATGGTTTAACTGTTTGAGTCCCAAGCAACGCATCATACATTCATAGGTTCCTACCTAGAAGCCCAATGAACGCATGATGCGCCGATTTTATGACTCTATTTACTACCCCCTGGGCCTGTGATGCTAAACCCCCTGGGACTCAAAGAGTTAAGAATAAGGACTTTGAAGCAGTCAGTTTTCTTAAAATATTTGTATTGACATTAAAATCATTAATAATATCATGACAAGAAATGAGCTTGAAAACTTAGTGATGTATAGCAGAGTTGATAGGAAAAGAGGAAGACAGTTATACAGTGGTGGCCAAAAGTTTTGGACCACCAAGTAAATATTTCCATACAGATACAGAGTATTGCTTTAAGTGCTATTTAATCATATGCAATCATTGCCTTCATTTGTGCCATCCTAAAATAACAGTTGAAACAATACTCTGTATTGGAAAATATCAGTTAATGGGTTGCTTCATACAAACCACTAACTGATACTTTGTTACTAATACAAAGTATTGCTTTAAGTGCTATTTAATCATATGCAATCATTGCCTTCATTTGTGCCATCCTAAAATAACAGTTGAAACAATACTCTGTATTAGAAAATATCAGTTAATGGGTTGCTTCATACAAACCACTAACTGATACTTTGTTACTAATACAAAGTATTGCTTTAAGTGCTATTTAATCATATGCAATCATTGCCTTCATTTGTGCCATCCTAAAATAACAGTTGAAACAATACTCTGTATTAGAAAATATCAGTTAATGGGTTGCTTCATACAAACCACTAACTGATACTTTGTTACTAATACAAACCATTAACTGATACTTTGTTACTAATACAAACCATTAACTGATACTTTGTTACTAATACAAACCATTAACTGATACTTTGTTACTAATACAAAGAATTGTTTCATCTGCTATTTTAGGATGGCAATATCAGTTAGCAGGTGGTCTTAAACTGTTGAACGCCACTGTAACCATGATGGTTTTCCCGCTTTTATACTTATATAATCAGAGCTACAATATCGAACTGATCTAAAGCCGCTGATTATGAGAGTTGAAGATGATGGCAGATGATGAAAATGCTTGTTTCACTTAACTGTTTCAGTGTCAGATGCCCAAAAGGTAGTAAAATCGGCACATCTTGAGTTCATTGGGCTTCTAGGTAGAACACTATGATGTGTGCCTTAGAACTGAAAGAGTTCATTAACAATCTTCACATTTTACTTGTGTTTCATCTCCTTATTTTGACAAAGATGTTGTTTTTTTACAGGTGTTTTTCTCCTCTGTAAGATCTGGGTCATCATGTCAGATCTACTTCATGACTTTGAGCAAGCCGGGACTGGCCAACTGGTGACGAGGCTGCCGCTGGCGGCCGGACACATATAGTCATAATTATTGGAGTCAGCATGTCAACCTTTGACATGTGCTCGTTCATAATCTTTAATGTCGGCAAGTTGACATTTGACACATGTTTAATCAGTCATTGGTGTCATTCTCCTGACATGTGTTTAGTCATTTATGACAGCAAATTGATGTTTGACATATGCTTAATCATAGTCATGGATGCCAACAATTTGACAATGCTTATCATTTATGTCTGCAGTTTGACATTTGGTAAATAACTATAGTAATTTATGTCAGGAAGTTGACATTTGACAGTGCTTATCATTATGTCTGCAGTTTGACATTTGGTAGATAACTATAATAATTTATGTCAGGAAGTTGACATTTGACAATGCTTATCATTAATGTCTGCAGTTCGACATTTGGTAAATGTCTGTAATAATTTATATCAGCAAGTTGACATTTGACAAGTTTTAGTCATTTATGACAACAAACCTGACATTTGTAAATGTCTATATTAATTTATATTGACAGTTGAACACACACCTGATCATGTTCATTGATGTCAGTTGACATTTGATAAATGTCCAGAATCATTTATTTTGGCAGTCAATAAGTTGACATTTGAGATCAGAGTTGGTTGTTGGTATCAAAAGTTTGACAGATAGTCATTAATTAATGTCTGCAAATTATGCATATGATTAATCATTAAACCAGTCGATTCACGAGTGAGACTTAATCATATTTACTAATATCAACAGGTTTACATTTAAGATATACTTAATCATAATTGTCATCAACATTCGGCCATGATTAAATGTTGTCATTAATGTATAGTTTGACATGCATGATCGGGCTTGGTCATGTTGGGTTTAAGATCTGCTACGTCATAGTCATTGCTGTCAACAAGTTGGCATTTACACTGTCAGTTTAGCATCATGCTATATGTGATTAGTTGTCATTTATGTCAGCCAGCAAATATGACATCTATGATGGATTTTATTGGCACCCACTGATGTCCTCAAGTTGACATTTTATGATCCACTAAGTCACAATACATTTAATTACAAGTCAGTAATGTGATTAGTTGTCATTTATGTCAGCAAATATGACATCTGTGATGGATTTTGTTGGCACCCACTGATGTCTTTAAGTTGACATTTTAAGATCCACTAAGTCACAATACATTTTATTACAAGTCAGTAAGTTGACATTCACAAAATCACTTAATTATCCCTGCAGGAGAACATAAGTTGATATCATGCTTGTAATATATCCTATGTACTTAGCCGACACACTATACCATCAGTAACTGCAGATATACCCAGCGAGACACAACTTGTGGTGCTACTTAGTCAGTGCATATTTGTAAGATATGTTGATCATGAACTGTGGTCTTCGGTGTCATTGAACACGTACTTGTCATGCTGTTCTAGCTACTTGTTTTTCCCCCGCGCTGTTACATTTTAAAATATATTTATGCCCCTTTGTACCTTGTTGTTAGTTTCTACTTGGACAAGTCAGCGAAACTTGCACCTAACATTGCTTTATTTTTAACTTGTGATGACTATCTTGTTTTACTGCAAGGGTTAGAGTCTCTGTGTGGCTGTTGCTTCTTTGTGCAAAACAAAATCATAAGCATTGAAAACACTGTTTTTATATGTGTGTATTCAGAAGGAATACGTGAATGGGATTTGTTTTTAACACATGACTGCAGCATAGTCTAGTTTTTGTGAAGTCTTATAGTTTTATTCTCTAGGAAATGTGATGGTTTCTCTTTGCCTCCCATATGTATGTATCCAGGTGTGCATGCTGTAAATATTCTGTTTTGTTAGCGTTTCGAGAATTCTACCAAGACAGAGAATATTTTCACCTGTGTGAGATGATGTTCAGACGGCAGGAGGTCTTTGATGTGTGCATGGTATTATTGCTTCCTGGGCCTATAGGAGAACATTGTAGCCCTGCGGATGCTTGTACTTTCAAAGTGGCTCATGTTCAGTGAAGCATGTTCAGAACAAGAGAGGGTTGAAGCAAATTGTGATCCAGTCTGTCCATTCAGCTTTTGTATGTGGATTGTGTGAAATCATATAGACAGTCTTTCCCTGGGGGAGGGGGAAGGGTGTAGATACAATGCCCTTTAAGCATGTCATAAAAGGCGATTAATTAAGGGTAAAATTGGAAATTTTGGGGTGAGAGATGCAAATATCTCAGCCTAGTTGTAAATCACAACACAAAGTGCCAACCACCGTTTCAGGGACTGGTGCGTATTGGGGTCTAGTCATCAGCTCCTGTATGTGGAATGAATGCTGTCATTTGCAGACTTGGTGTTGATTGTAAGCATATTATATTCAGCAGGTTAACTTCATCAGCGCCGTCCCTCTCTCTCTTTATCTTTGTATCATGAATCATATGCCAAGCTTTCTTATTAAGTAAATATGAGTTCTGGTCTTATAGATATCTTCTTCTTAATGTTCCTGCCCTAGTCATGTCTATACACAACCTTCTGTCTCACATACTTTCAGTCAGCTCTGACACAGATTATCCCCCTTGCCATGATTTCATAGTGTCCAGCATCTTTTCTCTCGGTCTTCCTCTGCCTCTCCTCCCCTCCAACTTTCCCACTGTCCCGATATCTTAGTAGTTGGAAATTGTGGCTTAAATGTTGTCAACATGCTTTGTAATTCTGGGGTTTTGGGTTTAATCCCAGCAGTAGCTTGCCTTGCATTAGTCTCCACAGTGGTATTGAGAGCAACTGTTTGTAAAACTTGTGGCAAACTTCTGAATGTTAAAACTGCCTGCTAACACTAAACAGCTGAAGAAAGTTAGGCTTGGTTCCTTAAACATCTTGTAAAGGATACATAAAACTAACTTTACCCACAACAGAATATGGTGTTGTGAAGTACAGGAATGGCAAGAGGTCAGGAATGCAGATTGCTGATTTGTTATGAGTTAGATTATCTTCACAGCACTCCATACACATCCATAGGCGCCCAGATTCCCCTCTCAACATATTCATCAGCATCATGCGGTTATTAGTACCAGTCCTATGTTGGTTAACAAGACTTTGTATGTATCCGGTGTGCTTCTCATGCTTGGCTATGCCGATCTTTATTCCTAATTCACGTATTCTTAGCGCTGATGTGGACATGTTGCTTCCAAAATCCTCAGAATGTCCTTTCTCTCTAAGGACAATGACAATGTCTGCGTGATCCATGGGCCGGCCATCTTCAATTAATGCAGCACCTGCCAGTCTATCAGCTCTCTCATTACCAACTATGCCTGCATGACCTGGGATGAATATGAAAGTAACTGCACAAACAGGAAAATTTTGCAATGACTCAAACCACTGTCTGCATAACCAGCCTGCCTCGACCTGCCGGATCATGCTCAAAGAATCACTCGGCACACACACACATGGGAATAGTCCTGTGATCCCAGCCACATGAAAGCCTGTGCCTGATTTGTTAGATTACGAGCGCCAGTCTCTTGTTTTGACGCGGCAGTGTATATAGTGCAGTTCATATAAGGCCATCTCAGACGTGGCCAATTTCTTGTGAAGAGCAGTTGGTTTATTGCCATAAATTTGTCTTGCTTAAACTCTTACCCAGATGAGAATCATTTCTGATATGAAGAATCATTTTCAATGAGTTCTTCTTATCAGGTCTGCAGTGTGTGTGTGTGTCTATATATATACATATATATATAAACCATCAGAAGCAGAATAATGGACTGCAAAGATTAAGTCTCAAGGATGTATAATAATTCTTCTGTACTGGTCCTCTAAAGGCCGTTGGCACTAGGCTGTGATACCTTCAGCCTACAAATCTGATTTCAGGAAGCCCCTAATTTGTTGCCTTTTACAGCATACTCCTTCTTTCCTCCCCTGTCCCTCCAATATGAGGCCCCAAAATGTGTAACAGTCTATAGAGAAAAAAATTCTTTGAGTGCTATGGTGTCTGTTGGCAAAAAATACCCAAAATCTGGTGGAGACATCACAGCCGAGGCTCAGTCAAAGCCAGTCTCTAGTTAAATGCCCAATCATGTTCTGGTCTTCTTGTGTTTGCTTTCTGATTGACACCCACAGACAAGTTCTTGTGTTAAACTTGACATGTCCTGGTCACATTCTAACTTGTCTATAAAGTTGAGCTTTCAGTAGCACTTTTGCCCAGCGGAACAAGAACTCTGCAACTGTCCTGATGAACATTGGCGGTTTAGGAGAAAAGTCTGACACCAACCTCACTAGGAGGGATACAAACACTTTTCTGGTCTTGGTATAAGTCCAGTGCCAGTTCAACAGAATATAAATGTTGCAGAAGACAACGGATTCATCAACCCACCAATCCAAGGAGATGTCAAGATTTTAAATTTCAATTATGGGGACACAATACGGGTGCATTGCTACAGAACTACATCAGTGTATCATGGGTACACACAGAATTAATCATTTCCACTGAAATAGTACAAATCACATTGTCTGTAGTTACATCTAAGGTTTCAGTGGACAAGATTTAACTTTTGTGGGATTCATTAGATGTTGATGGAATTGTAGTAATGCATCTGATACCGCAGCAGGCAGTGAAATATGTCGGCATTGCACAAATGTAACCAAGAATGAGGCAGGAAACACTAGCATTCCTACTAGGGTGTTCGATTTCCATAGATAGGAAAAATAAAGGTATCATCACCACCATTAAAAGCATAACTCCAGCTGTGCTTTATATACATATTCTTCAACTTTGGAGGATATGCATCAAAATGTGCTTACAAAACAATTATATGGAAAATAAATGCTTTCATGCAACAACAACAAAAGTAAATGAATTTGTTCCATGTCTGGAATTGATAGGACACCCTGTATCACACTCTAGTCTGTAACTGATAGTCTTTGCTGTAGGAGAGAGAGAGAAAGCTTTCATCAAGTTGATTGAAATCATATGTTCTGTATTGCTATAAAAGTTTTGCATGTAATGTTTCTTCATGATGACAGTTGTATGCTATTTATAAAACAGA